CCTCACTATTCTCACAGTGAAGAAGTTTTTCTGGATATCCAGTCTAAATTTACTTTGCTGAAACTTGAAGCCATTGGTCCACATCCTGCTCTCTGCAGCAAGAGGGAAAAGGTGCTTTCTCTTTTCTTTATGGAAGTCCTTCAAGTATTTGAAGACTGCTAGCATGTTATCTCTTAAGCACCTTTTCCACAAGCTGAACATGTCTAGATCCTTTGGCCTCAGCTCATATGACTTGCTTTCCAAGCCCTTGATCATCTTTCTTGCCTGCCTCTGGACCCTCTCTAGCTTCATGTCCTTTTTAAAATGTGGGGCCCAGAACTGCATGCAGTACTCCAGATGAGGTCTAACAAGTGCCGAGTAGAGAGGCACTATCACCTCCCATGTCTTGCACTAATGCTTCTATTGAAGCAGTCCAAAACCACAGTGGCATTTTGTGCAGCTGCATCACACTGCAGACTCAGGCCTACCAAGACTCCCAAGTCCTTTTTCATAGAGATGCCATCCAGTCAGGTGTCACCCATTTTGTATTTGTGTTTTTGATTATTCCTTCTGAGATATAGCACCTTGCATTTGTCCATAATTCATATCACTCTGCCATGCCTTCCACCTATACCAAGAGTTAACCTTACTGAGAAAATAACTGGTAGTTCCACAGACTCAGGCCACATACAGACATTCCTGGGATACAGTGTATGTTTGGGCAGCTTTAAGCAGTGTGACTGTAGATCATATTCCAACTATGCAAACATTTGCCAGGGCTGGGAGCCTGATTTAAGTAAGTTAAGGTGGGATAGGGGTGGGTGGGCCAGGGGGGGTATTGGGTCCAGGAGGGAATCAAGGGGTCCAGGAGGGAATCAAGGAGGCTAGTAGGTTGGGGCGGGGGTGGGGGCAGTGTTTATAGATTAACAGATTTTAAGAGCTGGAAGGGACCTTGGCAGATCATCGGGTCCAGCGCCCCTGCACTAGGCAAGAAAGACAACTGGGGTCAGGTGACCCCAGCAAGGTGACTGTCCAGTCTCCTCTTGAAGATTTCCAGGGTTGGTGATTGCATAACCTCTAGAGCGAGCCTATTTCACAGTCTGGACACCCTAGCTGTGAAGAAGTTTTTCCTAGTGTTAAGCCTGAAACGGTCTTCCAGGAGTTTCTGGCCATTACTCCAGGTTTTCCCCAAGGGTGCCCTGGTGAACAGTTGTTCACCAAGCCCCTGATGTATTCCCCTGATGTATCAGTACCAAGTCTCCTCTCAGCCTTCTCTTTTTTAGGCTGAAGAGTCCCAGGTCCCTTAGCCTTTCCTTGTATGTCTTGCCTTGCAAGTCTCTGATCATACAGGTGACTCTTCTCTGGACTCTCTCAAGCAATTACCACAACCTTGTCGAAGTGTGGTGCCCAGAACCGGACACAGTACTCCACCTCTGGTCTCACCAATGCTGAGTAAAGCAGAAGAATAATGTTGTTGGTTTAACTTGAGATCCATCAATTGATTCATACCAGAGTATTATTTTTCCTGCTGGCTACAGCATCTCACTGACAGCTCATATCCATACTGTGATCTACTATTACCCATAGGTCCCTTTCAGTCATGGTGCTGGTCAGTTTGCCACCACCAAGCCTGTAGGTATGTAGGGGATTGTTCACCCCTAGGTGAAGCACTTTACATTTCTTGATGTTGAACTTCATCTGGTTCCAATCTGGCCAATTTGCAAACCTGTATCTGCAGCCTGTCTTTGAGCATGACCATGCTCCCCCATAACTTGATGTCATTCACGAACTTGGCCAGTGAGCTCTTCACCCCCTTATCCAAATCAACGATAAAGATGTTGAAAAGAACTGGACCAAGAACTGACCCTTGAGGGACACCATGGCCACTTCTCAGCAGGATGACACAGATCTGTTCATTAGAACTTTCTGGGTCCTACCCCAAAGCCAGCTTCCTAACCATCTAACTGTTTCACACTTAAGCCTGCAATCCTCCAATTTTCCCATGAGCATATCATGGGATAGCATATCAGAGGCCTTTTGGAAGTCAAGGTTGATGGGATCAGGGTTGTTACCAGGATGGGTGGGGGGAGCGGTTGGCAGATGTGCAGGTTAGAGGGGGGGATGTTGTCTCTAGAGGGGTGAGGGCTTTGAAGGGCTAAAGATAGCCCCGTTAGGGTGGCGGAGCAGGGGAGTGAAGGAAAAGTGCAGACCAGGGGCTGGGATGAGTGGCTGGGCTTTCCCAGCCTGAGGGCTGTACTGAAGACATATACACATATTCCCAGGACCCAATCTAAAATTACACAGCCCACTTTAAGCCATGTGATCATAGATCAGCCCCCTCGGGGGTATGTCTGTGAGGGGGAGGTTGTCCATCTGCAGGGTCTGCTGTACAAAAGTTTGGGTTAGATTGGACACAGGTTAGACCTACATAGTTTACCTCCTAGATGTACTAAGGTTAGGTCAGGCCAGCCATTGCCTGAACCAGCCTTACTGAATACCTGTACTGTTCAGTACTTGTATCAGCCTAGTTAGGCTTATCTAAGCGCAAGATCTCCAAGCAAGTGAACTAGGTTAAATGAGGTAGTCATTTTTTGCCTAATCAAACCTCCTATAATTCAGCACTTAGGTCAATTTAGCCCTAGTTAGATCAATCTAAGTACAACATCTGTATGTACCCTATGATTACAGGACTTCAGGCGTAGACTGTTACATTTTCCTTTGCAACATATAGACATAACTTTAGTAAGGCCATGAACAAGGTCTTCATGAACAAAAGGCAAATAACAGTTTAGGATTGCTGCTATGTATGTACCTATAAATGAGAACTCTGCACTCACTGTTCCTTATAAAATGTTTCTTCAGTTTATAAAGATACTTAATACCTTGGGAGATGTACTCATTTTGACAAATATATTTTAACATATTAATTTCAAATGCAAATTAAGTTCCCATATTTAAAACTAATTATAAGAGAAAATATATTTTTTTCTATTTAATTTTTTTGATGAAGATCCTTATGCAATTATAAAACAGAACAGAGATGCAGCAAACCCTTTATTGTAAATATGAATATGCTATAGTTTCCCTCCATAGCTCTGCTACATGGTAAATTGACCAGCCTACTTGATTATTATTTACTGAATCATTTAAGTCTAGAAGGGACAGGTTAAAGTTAGTTGCTTTAAAACCAAGGTTCAGATTTAAAATGGGTATAACTGTAAAATTCAGTGAAGATGCATTCAAGTGGGAACTAAAATTGACTGCATCTTTATAACGTTCATCTTTTTGGGTAGATTAATTTAATACCAGGCATTATGTCACAAGAGAAAATCCCTTTAAAAGACTGACCTTGTTATTTGCTATGTGTTTGACAATTTAAAGAAATCTGGGAGATTTTACAGTTCTGTGTGCAGTAGTATATTGTTCTACTGAAGCAGTGACCGTTCTGACTTTAGAAATGAATGGACTAAGGCTCAGACTATTTTCAATGAGAATACTGCATCCTTAAAACTGGACAAACTCTTCATCATTTGATGTATTAGAAACAATCATTAAAAATATATATTTTAAGATTATTCTTATAATTCAGTAGCTTGTCAGTAGTAAACTAAAGGTCATTACATAGTAGATAAAGTATAATATATACCTCTCTTTCTAACATTAAACCTTCTGCCCTCAGGTTTTTCTCAAAAGTGCTCCTTTTTTCTATTTGTAGACTTGATTTTTTATAGACCAAGATGTAATCAATTCGCTTTTTACCATCTTTGAAGAAGAGACCTGATGATGCTATGGCATTCATTTCATTCTGAAAAACAAACAAGCAAAATTGGTTACAGATATAGTCACATGTAAGAAAAAGCAAAACAAGCTCAATTCTTATTCCTGCCCAACAATCCTCCCTGTCCCATCTTCTACAGATGTTACAACTCGGAAGAAAATATTCAAAACTTGCAGTGAGTTTACTCATGCACTTATCTGCTGGAGCTTGCCGAGAACCTGAAACAATAGCTCTGGAGGTATGAACTACCTCATTCATTCAAATGAATACTAGCTCAGACACAAATGAGGGTGCTTTAAATATCAGCACCTCCTTCTGAGGAAAGAACAAATGATTTTGAACAAACCAAACAATTTTCAAAAAGAGTTCTAATCCCATCAGTCCACTGAAAGAGCAAGAGGTATTAGCAGGGTGACCACCTTGTCAAAATGGAAAAACAGGATACATACCCACCTCTGCCTCTCCCCCTCTCTCTACCGGCATGGTAGGAGAAGAGTCAAGCAGAGCAGGGGTGGATGAGGGATGACCTCTGTGGGCCCAAGGCTCCCCACCCTGCTGCCTCTCTCCTGGAAGGTCTGCACTGACCTCATGCCTCCTGCTTGCCTGGCAGCAGTGAGGGCACAGCTCCACATCACTGCTGCTGTCCCTGCTGCTGCTGGGTAGGCAGGGGGTGCCTCACCATGATGGCAAGCCCACAGTGGGCAGCCCTCATCCACCCCTGTGTACAGATCTGGGGGGTGGGGCATGCATCACCCCATGCACGCTCCCCCACCAGAGGGTGCACGGAGCAGCAAGGAGCCAACCCCCATCCCATCCTCTGGATGAGCTGCTCATGGCTACATCCTGCTCCACAGCCTGGCTCCAGGCCCCATGCAGTGTTCTGGCTGGGCAGTGCCCCCAGCTCCTGCCACACTCCCTCCCTCACTGTGGGGGCCTCAATCTGCCCCGACAGACATACCTGCAGGGAACTGCTCTCCATGTTGCCCAGCTGTACTCCTGGCCATGTGCACATGTGTGGGTGCATGCTTGCACATAACACCCCCTGCATCCCACTTCTGGCAGCCCCAAGCAGCCCCTTGCAGGCTGGAATGCTGTCAGCCTTCAAGGGAATACCTGCCATTTCCTGATCCCTGCAGGAAACTGAGAATTCAGGACAAATGCTGTCCCAGAGCCATGCAGCTCAGGACTGGGACTTGAGGTTATGATTCTGGGACTGTCCTGCCCAACTAGGGACAAGTGATCACCCTAGGTATCAGAGCAACGTGTTTCAGGATTGCCTATGACCAAAAACCTACTTGTGATTGTTGTAGATATGCTCAGGGGATTCAGTTGTTTTAGATTTCTCATTATAGAAAAAGAAATACCTAGGACTTCTCTGTCTCAATTTTCCTTTTTTGATAATCAGAAATATCATCAGAATACACAGGACACTGCAAGAAGCTTTTCAAACTATCTGATAAGGTTTCTTTATGCTTTATATTATCAACTTAAATATTAAATTCCTGAACAGCAATTTACAGGATGTAATAGGTTGGGGGTTTTTTGTTTTGTTTTTTTAAATACAAGTCTCAAAGAAGTACAAAAGCAGCAAACTGACTGAAGAAAGAGAAAAGGCAAGGTAAAGATTTGAGGTGCATATGTTTTCTTCAAATATTTTTTCTCCTCAGCTTTAAAGCTTAAAAGTATTTTCCAGGTTATGTAGCCCTGGTCATCTGTAAAAAACAAATGCCCATAGTAATATAAAATACATAACATTTTAAATTTATATAAAGTACTGTATAAAGGGTACATTTATACAGGTATTATGTACTGTATAAAGGGATAAAGATATAGGGTATGTGAAGACATTCACGGAACCTGGTCTACAATCACACTGCTTACTTTAAACCATGTGATCATAGATTGGGTGTGGCTTGTGCACATAGTAGCAAGTACTGGGAGCTCCACTCGGAACCCAGTATAAGTAAGTCAAGGTGGGGGAGGGAGGAGGAGGGCCAGGTGGGAGTCAGGGGTGGGGGTAGTAGGTTAATAGGGGAGGAGCATTGGCAGATTGGAGGAAGTGTTTTCTGTGGTGGAGGGAGGGTTGGGGGCACTAAAAATAGGGTGGTGGGAGTGGGAAGAACACAGCCCAAGGCCTGGGGAATGTGGCTGGGCTTTCCCATACATTCATAGACTGTAGAGTCAGAAGAGACCACAATGGATCATGTCCAACCCTCTGCTTCTGGCAGGGAAGAGGACCAAGGTCAGATGACCCCAGCCAGGTGACTATCAATCCTCCTCTTGAAGACCTCCAAGTTAGGTGATAGTACTACCTCTCTTGGAAGCCCATTCCAGATTCTGGCCACCCTTACTGTGAAAAATTTCTTCCTAATGTCTAACCTAAATCAACTCTCCGCTAGTTTGCACCCATTATTCCTAGTTACTCCCTGGGGTGCTCTAGTAAATAGCGCATCACCAATTTCCTGTTGTCCTCCCTTGATAAACTTATAGGTGGCTACAAGGTCTCCCCTCAGGTGTCTCTTGTGAAGGCCGAAGAGATCCAGATCTCTCAACCTCCCCTCATAGGGTCTTTCACGGAGGTCACTAATCATGCGAGTAACCCTTCTCTGAACTTTCTCCAGATTCTCCATGTTCTTTCCCAGGCCCAGGGCTCCACTCCAAATGCATATAGAGGTTGTCTAGGTCAGACTAACCCATTCCTGATCTAAGTTAGTTCACCTCCTTAAATGAACTAATGGGGATTAGGCCCACCAATTTTTGACCTATTCATTGGCGACGTATAGGGAGTACACACGGGTGCACATGAACCCCCTGAGCTTGGCAGTACACCCCCTGCAAAAAGGTGCCCTTGACACTGCTGGCAGCACCTGAGAGTGGTCACTGCTCACCACACCTCCCCTCACTATCAACACCATTGGTGTTGTCTGCAGGTGGTCCCCAATCACTGCTGGCCACTGCCGACACTACCAGTAGCATCTGCAGGTGGCTGCCAACTGCCAGTTGGCACTTGCCCCCCCCCCCACCAACAGCATTGTGGCTGCCTGCGGGAGCTCACAGCTCACCACCACCATGCTCCCACCACCAACAGTGCAGCCACCACCACCTGTGGGAGCTTGCCATACCCCCCCAGCCTCCGGGGGCACACAGAGTTCATGGCCCTATTTAACCTCCCTGCATGTCTGCACAGATTGGTGCTTAGATTGACCTAACCCTAGTTAGGCCAATCTAAATGTAACATCTGCTTGTACCCTTATTGTTTAAAGGCAGGAAAATAGGACTAAGAGACCTGAAATGTGCTGCAGCTTACCCTGCTGAAGATTCAGTACCAAAAATTATTTTTTTAACTTCCATATACTGCATACAATAAAAACTGTGGCTTTCATGAAAAACTATCCACTTGAGACATCATCCATCATTTAACTACAGATCCTTATCAGCTGTAATATACAGTGGCTTAAAGCCTTTCCAAACTAACTGTTGTACATAATGGCTTATCTTGCTGTAGAATTTCTTGTCTAAAAATGACTGCCATAGAAGGATGTTCCAGCAATTGGGTTTACTTTGAGATAAGCTGCAACTTTTAACTACCATTTTCAAACTTTTGCTATTCAGATAAATTTGAAAGATGATCTTAAATATCTCTTGGTTTGAAAAAACAACCTGGCGAGGAGGTTTTTTTTCCTTCAAAGCAAAATCAAAACATTGTTTTTCCTTAGTTCATCAAATGACACAAACAGAGATCGTCATCTCTTTAGGACCAGTATTTAGATAAATTGGGTGTATTTCAATCCAGATTATGGTTTATTCTAAAACATGTTTTATAATCCAGGGCCAGGACAGGATATACAGTACTGAGAATGGCTACATCTAAATCGCTTTATGAATTTATCCATGTTTTTGATTTGTCTGTTTCAACAAAATGTCTAAAATAAAAGAAAGAAAATTCTTTTACTTTTCACTTAACAGAAATTAACCACAGCTTGTGGTTGATACAATGTGTGTTGGAGGAGGGAAAAGAGGAAGAGAGGGTACTTTTCAGAAAGTATGGTTGGACTTACTCAAATAATATTCTTTGAAAGTAATTTATCTGTGTCAAACTCTACCCAGAGTAAATCACATGGCTCACTTAGTAGTATGATAGCAAAAAAAGATAATCTACTAAACAATGGGAAAAAGTGACAAAGTCAATTTAGAAAGAATGGATTACATAATTAAGAGAGGCAGTTTTCTATAACAGTAATATGCAAATTACAGTATAATGAAGATAAATGTAAAGGGATATGGGTATAATTTTTGTCATATATTAAAATGAAACCAACAGGGTAAGACAGCTTCTTTCCCTTTTCATCAAATTTTTTGTTTAAAGCTTTCCACATTCTTTTTCATTTGAAAGATTTAACTTTTATTACAAATAAGTAAGCCAAACTATTTCTTCAAAACACAATGAAAATATTAATTCAAAATCTGAACTGAAAAATGCATTTCTCCTAGATTTTATGACTAACCTACCTTTCTGTGTGTCTTTGTTATTATCATTTAGTATCTGTGTTTTACTACTGGGCTAAATTAGTGGGGTGGGCCCACTTACTGCAAGATTGTCACTGCTTATATTTTAGTGATGCATAATTACAGGATGATAAAACACCTGAGGTAAATACATGAGAATAAGCTGCTCAAGCTAAAGAACAGCTACTGCAATATAAACCAGTGATTTTTATTAAGCACCATGCCAACTATGAAACACAACAGTAAGGGGGGTGACCAACATTTTGACTGGAAAAAGAAGTACAGGTTTTTTTAAAGTGGATGTGACACAGCTTTAAAAAAAGGGAGGGGGGACCAGGTGGTAGAGATTATGACTAATATTGCTCAGATACACCGGACAGATAGTACTACAGCAGGTCTTTGTAGCTCAACACTGGCCCTGCAAGGGACGAATGTGCATGCCCCCTGTAATGCTACAAAAATATTTTGAAAAAGGGACTCCTCCGTAGTGCTATATTTTGCACTGCTACATGTAATGCCTG